AGGGATGGCTTGCATCTTCTTACAAAGGGTCAATATTGGAAGGTTTTGCTGTAAGACTTGCTGACTTGCAACGGCCGCTTTTTTTCGCAACGAAAAAAAAATCGTTGATCTGCGGCGTGGACAAAATGTTTTTTTTTCCCCCCTATACATGGATAGTCAGTCCCTGATTCTCATCAGACCTGTGACTGAATTTGATGGATGTCACGTTTGATATGTTTGTAAATCCACTGAATATCCACTCACAAGTCAGTTCAGAGGGTACGGTGGGATTTGGCAAATATGATAGCCGTAAAAGACTTCTTCCCATGGCCCACACCGTCAAACATTTCGTAGCACATTTGTCGCCAATGATGGAGGTTTCACTGCGAAATATTCCCTAGATGAACCTCCATAAGTAGAATCAAGCTCTTGTTCGCTGCCCTTACCGTCTTCACAATGTTAAGTCATCTGTCGTCGTCGTACAGCTAAAGGTAGCGTACAGTAATTGTTCCGGCTTGAGGCAACTGCTTCACTTCTCCGGTCGGTGATTATGCTTATTCTCTTGAAAACACTAGCTCTAGCTATGCGAGAATCCCGGCGGTCGGCACCATGTTGTGATGGTCTGTGATCCGTTGAGTACCTCGTGAGCTCGAACCTTGCACCATGCTTGAACCATCATTACCCCATGACAGATTCTTCTGAAATCGCCCGTGTGAAAAAGTCGTTATGAACTTGCTCGATAAATTCGCATTTGCTCTTGAATTCCTAGTTGGAAGCATCGTGCTTGAGTTTGGCAAAATGTACATAGTAAATTCAGTCTTGGGTGAGGTTCTAATTTTTCAAGTGTGTGAGTTTCGTCCGTCCTCAAATTTCCCAAATTTGAAAATGACGAAAGGCACATTCACATCTGAGCGTATCTGAAGATTTTTGCGAACGATGGGTTCACCGTCACTGTGAATCACACAACGTTTCGGCAGAGCCAAGCAGGCGTGGCAAGGTTTGATCAGTTGAGTCAACTCCGCAAACAGCGTTATCGTGCCGCTTTCCATGCTCTCGCCGCTTTTTTACGTTGTGGACTTGACAACTTTTTCTCAACTTCGCAACATTCCATTCGACAGGAGACTTACCGCAATGCAAAATAGGAGCCCTGCAGTCTATATGAGACGGCAGTGAGAGCAGTGCTGCTTGTCATTCAGGAAGTTTTCATTTTTCTGAGCCCCAGAGAATGGCGCCTGTGAGCACACGTATTCATACGTTTGAGAATACTTCACCCGTCAGTAATGATTTTTGAGCACAAAAATCATATCATAACACCGTGAAATAAGATCAAGTGGTTATAACGGGGACGCTGCTGAAGCAGCGATAGATGATTGCTTGTGCTGAAGTTTATCAGACTGCCAATCGGTTCTGAAAGTAGTTGAACAAAAGCAACATTTCTGATGTAAATCTACCTTGAGTGTATTCAGCTGGGTCTAGGAAATCCTGTGCGAAGGGGTACTTCTTCCTGCGAAGTATTGAATGGGAGTTGACTTGTTCCGGAGATAATGACAAAAGTAAATTTACTTACAAAAAGTTGCACAGCTTCTGAATATAATCTCCTTGGTTTCCTCCCTGTCTTGATAACCGTTTTTCTTAAACTGATTCCATTAGAACTGTCATCTTGGGCCGATTCTCATTTATTATGCCTTGCAAGGCGATGAATGCATAACAATTACAGCTTTTCAGAATCGGCAATGTGCTGCACTATCCTTCTTTGTATATTAGCTGTGATTTGTCCGGTAAGCAGAATTTTTGTGGTCCTTTGGTTTAAACGCTCGTTTGCCTAGGTGTAAGGCAAAGCGCTCGAAAATGAAGCAAATGTAGTAATCGGTTGAATAGCGATGAAGAGAGCGAATGACACTATTTGATCTCGAAGCTGAAAATGCAGTTCGGG